CGCTGTGGGCCCAGGAACAAGGAGTGGGGGAGCAGGGCAGGATCTCCACGAGTGTAGCAATCAGTCCATCAGGCCCAATCAGATGGGCCTTCCAGGAGCAATCCTCTCTCTTGTGCTTGGCTTTGCGGCGATGAGGGGCACGTGAGCCCATGGTGAGCGCAAGGATTTGGTGTCCTTCCCATCAGAGGTCAAGGTCAGGTGCAAACCCTTTACCTTCTGCAGAAGCTGACATAGATTGGAATTCAAGTTTCAGTATGGATAGCATCATGTTAGGTAGAATTGCAGTGGGTCCGTGTATCCCTCCATGCAGTTCTTATTATTTGTACTGATCTTGGCTTTCCAAGTTGAACTCAGCTGCATTTGAAAAGAAAGTTTCTGGGTTTTGCTAGAATCCATCGCAAAGCATCCCCAGGCATCACTGTAACCGTGATTCCACACTTGGATGTCCTGTCCTCTGAATTTCCTAGGTGTCAGGAAGCATGGATGGCTCAGCACGGACCTGGGCTTCGAAGCGCAGCTTAGCGTGAGAGCACGCCAGTGCTTCTGCGGCACCAGCCTCTGCGATACCCGTTTGTCTTCCCAAGGACACTGGTCTGAGAACCTTTGCATTGGTTTGGAATTGTAAAAGAAATGGGTATTAGTCCAGATTCTACATTTGTGAGTTTGCATCAGCCATGCTAGCGGGGATGTGAAGGACATTGTGGCCACTGCGTCACAGAGTGGGACGGCCCCATGAGCTCTCCACCTGCAGGAATGCATTCTTGTCTCGGTGCACAGTTGCCAATCTGTCATTTGTACTGCAGCTGAACTTCTAAATTGGTTTTTTTCCTGCTGATGTGGAGTTTGTTTTGAGCTGATTTTCACTCAGATGTGACAGGACAGGAGAGGTAACAAGAGCCCTCAATTCTGCACTGGGGGAGTGTTCAGGCACTTGCTCCCAGGGTCCTTGCTGACGGGCTTGAGATGCACAGCAGCTCTGCCACCAACTTGGGAAACCTGCGTGCTCAGCAGCTTTGTGGCCCTGAATGGCATCCCTGCAGGAGCTGTCTCAGAAGCAGGCAACAGCGGCTGCGCAGCACATACATGAGCAGGCCTCAGACCAGCTCCACGCTGCAGGGTCACAGACTGGACCCTTGGTTCCCAGCCTTGGGGGCAGGTGTCCACACGTGTCTGTGCACACGCCCATGCACACGTCTGTGCACACATTGCTGCACATGCACATGGCAGATGAACAGGCACAGTGTGGATTTACACAGGTAGTGCTGTGGACGGTGTGGGATTTTAACCCCTGCTTTCACAGGGAGGAGCACAGCTTTCTTCCTAAATCCCAAGCGAAGGACAAAGCCTGCATTGTTCAAATCCTTGCCTGTACCACCTGGCCTGCACAGGTAAGGGTGGAAACACACCTCCATCCCTCACCCAGGAGCCAGGCCTGTGGGTCATAATCCTGGCAGGTTTCTGCTCCCTTTCTTTCTCCCATCTTGCTGCCTACAGACCAGACAACTAGGGACGCATGGCCAGGGCTCGTGTAGTCCATGTGTGACACAGCACAGGCACAGCTTAGATCTTTGTACCCCAGAGGCCATGAGGTCGGCGGCTTTTCAGGCTTGCTCTTCTCTGAAGTAAAACTATAAGGAAACATTTGTTACCTGCCAGGTATCCTTCTGAGTGTTGCCCAAACACCAGATCCCCTGTTGTTACCTGTGCTGACAGTCCTGGTGCTCCCTGAGCAGATTGTAGGAGGAGAGGGAAAGCTGCGCACACTGAAAGCCCTTCAAGCCCTTCTGGGTCCGTTGCTCGGACACATGGCCTGCCAAAGCTCTGGGGTGTGGTCAGGAGGGGGCCCCACTCCCAGCAGCCTCTGGCCACCTGTTCTCTGGTTACCTCCCCTCCCCTAGATCGCAGTCCAGCTTGGCCCTGCAGACAGATGCCGCAGTCATCAAGGCGGGGACAGGAACCCGAGTAGGACATGCATGCTACCTGGCCACATAGGGTCAAGGCATGGGCACCCCATGAGCGTCAGGAGCTGAACTAGCATCCAAGAAACTGAGGGGTGCCCAAGGTGGGAGGAAGGGATGGGACTGGCGGAGGCAGCAAGAGGAGCAGGGTTGGGACCCAGGACAGGACCAGCGGGCTCAGCCTGCATGCTCCCCTGCAGCTGCCTCTGAAAGTGCAAAGCAGGGTCCAACACCAAAGCAGGGACTCTCCGAGCCTGCCGAGGGTCTTTGTCTCTGCAGTGTTTCGTTTATTCTCCGAGGGCATCTTGTCTCACGCACACCTACATATCCCATTATCCTGCATTTACGATTGTTTGGCACGTTTAATTAAGCACATTGTTTAAGACTTAGAAAGACTTCCCCTTTCGTGGAATTTGGGTGTGGAAGGTAGCACATAGCGGGCTTCTGTGTCAGCCACGCGGTGGCCATGAGAGCCTCCAGGGAGCTGCTCAGTTGCCTGCAGCTCTGCTCCCTGGGAGCGCAGCGTGGAGCCTGGTTGTCAGGAGTCAGACCCTCCCAGCCAGGCCTGAGCCTCAGCACACACTGCAGCCTCAGTGAGGTTGGGGAGAGAGGAGAGGGCGCAGGTGAGGGCCTGTCCTGCCTCCCGTGGCCTCTGCAGCCCAATCTCGTATGCTCTGCTCCCTCATGCAGCTGTAGAAAGGGCTGTTGGACTCGGGCACCTCAAGTGGAGCGGGTCTCTACCAGTACCCTGTCCCATATATCACAGCAACCCTGCCCTGCGTGCTGTGTCCCTCTGTGCTGCTGGGCCCTCCCTGAGAACTGAGGCTCAGCTCTGCTGGTTTCCTGCCTGTTTTGTTCCTATGTATCCTCGATGTCCCCAGAACTCCCTGAGTGGCCGCCCAAGGTTGAGGGACAGAGCCTGGATGCCACAGGATGGGGAGAGAGCCTGGTCAGCTTCACTGTACTCGGGAGCCCTGGGGGCTGCTGCCCCAGCTCCACTCCGCTTGCTCTGCAGCCCGCCCCGGACCTGGCTGCTCCCCAGGCCTCTGCTCTGCTCTCGGGGTGCCGGCCATTCGGTGTCCACTCAGGGCCCACGGTGTGTGAGGGGACTTAGGCAGTGTCCAGCCTCCCGGGAAACGTTGGCTGAGGAGTGACATAGACCCAGAAAAGTGAAATGGCGCAGAATGACACTGTTGCACCAAGTGCGTCCTGCTCCCCTACACCCAGATCAGAAAGCAGAAAGTGACCAGAGCCCCAAGAAGGTCGCCATGTCGCCATCAAGAACTCCAGGGGCCAGTGGCTCACCTGCCGCTGTGTTCCCTGCAGATCCGAGGTGCGCAGGTGCAGATGGCCAGCAGCGTCCTCTTCATGCCGGCCACTTGGGCTCAAGGTGCTTTTTATGGCACTAGCCACGCTGCTGCAGCTTGTGGTGGCGCTTCCTTTCCAGGGTTGTATACTCCTCCGCCCTGCTCTCAGAGACACCAGGAGCTCTCTACCCTGCCGTGCTAGACATCGTTGAAGTCTTTTGTGAGAAGGGGAGACATGGGCTCCGGGCTGCAGGGGGTGCATGTGTCCCCGCGCCTTGCCCCATGCAGGGCCTCCAGCTGTGCCTGTGCCCGGTGTCCCTGTCGGCTGTGAGGTCACCTAGCTGTCCCTTGCACTTCTAGTTGGTGGCCCAGTGAGAGCCTGTGAATGCAATCCACAGCAGTCTGTGCAGTGAGCTGCTGCTTTGCCTGCTATGTGGTGGCATGGAGCAGGCGTCCTCGTGCACGTGACAGTCCGAAGGTAGAGGCAGAGAGGCCCTCTGCTAGGCCCCAGAGGCTGCAGGGCTGCACAGTGGAAATGCCGAGGGTGGGCAGCTGCAATGCTGTAGTGTGTGCGGCGCGCCTAAGGGCGACTCCTGCTGCCTGGCCTTTCTTCTGCAGCCCCCAAGGGCGCCAGCAGCACTGGAAAGCTGGTGTGCGGTGCGCATCTATGCTTCCAGGGCTGGGGAGGCTGAGGCAGGAAGATCGCAGGTTCCCGTTCAGCCCAGGCAGTTTAGTGACTTAGTAAGGGTCCTGGGTTCACTCTCAAAGACCACACGCACGCACGCACACACACACACACACACACACACACACTCTTAGGGTCAGCTTCCACCTGGAAGTACTGAGGCGCAGAAGGACGCAGGGCTCAGTGTGCAACGGTACTCGCTGTGTGGCTGCACCTGTTGGAGTCAGCTCCCGCCATGGGTGATTCGGACACCTGGGAGCGCAAGCTTCAGTGTGCAGAGGCCAGGGCAGCTTCTGCGTCCCTGTCATCTTCTTGCAGAACGGGAACAGAGAGCAGCCAGGCCTACGGCTGCATGGGGACACCGTGGGGATCCCGGGATTCTGGGAGCCAGGATGCGGCATAGAGGAAGCTGAGCACACCTCAGCCCCCGCTGAAACTCATGCCGTTACCTTTCTGAATTGTTGCTATTTACCGTTAACTGACACCATCCTGTATTCTCAAAAATATTCCATTTAGAACTGAACACAAAAATCAAGTGTGTTATCTGATAGGACTTTTTAGGTTGCTAGAAAATAAAATCCTTCACTTATTGTATCTCGATACATTGTCTGCACCGCCTGTTTATCTTTGCAGGATGGTATATCAAACGCTGCGTCCCTTTTCTACCGAAGCTTTCCCCCTAATGGGTAAGGTGCACGGTGATGCTGGGCTCACTAGGCCACCATTTTAATGAGAACTTTCTGAGTGATTGGACAACACAATATTTTTCCAACTGGTTTCCAAAAGCTATCTTTCTGTGAAACAGTCTCACTCCGTAGCCCGGGCTGGCCCCAAGTCATGGCACCCCTCCTGGCGCAGCCTCCCAAGTGCTAGGGTTACAGAAGTACATCACCACCACCTGGCTCCAAAAGAGTGAAGCGTTCATGGTAACGCATGGAGTACAGGCGAATAATTGCTGAGTAGGCCTGGCTCCGTGGCTGGGCCAGCGTGAACTCTGTTGCAGGAGTGGCCACAGCATCCGAGTCACAGCCCTATGTTCTTTGTGTGCAGGCTGAAGAAAAAGTCGCAGTCAGTGGACATGACAGCTCCAGGGTTCGGGCCGGTGGCCGGGGCTGGGAAGGCAGTACCCCAGGCAGGCAAGGCCGTGGCACCCAAGACCCCCACCATCGAGGAGGAGCAGCACAACGCAGCCAACGCCCAGCAGCCGCCACCACGCAGGAGTGGGCTGCAGAGGTTCTACACCATCGGTGAGTGTGCCGGCACGCGCGTCCACGTGGGCCCAGGCGAGTGTGAGTGGGCAGCCGGACGCTAGCGGGCAGAGAGCTGAGTGGCGAGGCCGGGCTCCAGGAGGCCTCCAAGGACCTCGTCCTCCCTGCCCTGTGGTTTCGGTCGGGTCCTGTCCCTCTGGGCTCTGTCTGCTCCCACACTGTCTGTAATGACGATAATGGTGACACGGCTGAGTCTGAGCTGCAGAGAGCAGGCGTCCTGCTGTTGGGGACGCCATCCGTGCTGGCTCAGTGGCTGCCCGGGCTCAGGGCTCTGTGCCTGACCCCAGATGCTGGGGCGCCCTGTGGTCTCCAAACCTGGAGCCCTGTGGGTTGGCTGCTGCACACGGGGGCTCACAGCATTCCTTGTGTTTGTCCAGCACACTTGGGATGGTGCTTTCCTGCAACAGTCTCTGGCGAGTTAGATCTGCGTGCGAAGTCAGTGACGAGCAGACAGGGCAGAGGACAAGGACGGAGGAGATGAGCTCCATGGCGCAAGGATGGCCACTTGGCCTTCCTGGCCTCACTTTGGAGGGATTTTATCACATGCTGAAGTCTTTATGGAGTATGGGACATGCCTATAATCCCAGAACCCAGGGAGGCTGAGGCAGGAGGACTGCAAGTTTAAGTCTGCCCTGGGCAACTTAGTGACTTAGTAAGACCCTGCCTTAAAACAAAACTACAAAGGGCTAGGGATGGGGCTAGTGCAAAGGTCCTGGGGACCATCACAAGATTAAAATAAAGTGAGAGTTAAAGTAGAGACCAGCCTAATGGCTGGCCAGCGCCAGGGAGATGCTCTCTTTGGTGCCCGCCAGTGCCTTGGTGAGGTGCTTGTCCTAAGGCAGCTCAGTGCTTTCCTCAGACATCTTAGCCGCCAAGCAGAAGTGACAGTCTGGAGACCTGGCATCTAGGTCTGATCCACAAGGTGGACTCGGGCCTCTGTCGTGCTCTGCCACCCTGGGCAGAGCCACCCTCCCGGCCCATGTTGTCCAGCATGGCCCTGTCACTCCTGTCACCTCGCTGTTCACCAGCCTCCTCTTTCCCTGCAGTGTCCTACCGTCTGAGCACAGCCCTTGTCACGCTGTGAGGGTCGTAGGATGGGTGTCCATTCCCCGCTGTCCCTGCTTCCAGTGACAGCTCCATCCTGGGGTCTGGCCTGGGCATACCACAGAGCTCACTTCGCCACTTGTCAGGAGCTGGATCCCCCTGCCCCGCACACATGCCTGCACCCTGCTGCTGCCCTGACCTCTTAGCTGGCGAGGAGGCAGCCACTTGCCCTCAGGCTCAGGCTGCATACTCAGGCAAGGAGGGAGGGAGGGACCCCGGCCAGCTTGGTCCCAGAGCAGGTGCTGCCCAGAAGCGAGGTCCAGGTGCTTGGGATTCAAGGTGGCACCGTGGTTTGAAGGTGCGTGACCAGGACCAATGTAGCCAAGAGAGGCACTGGAGCTCTTGCTTCCCGTGTTGGGGCAGCCCCAGCACTAGCACAGGCCTGAGGCCACTCCTCTCAAGGCTAAGATGTGGACAGCCGCACCATGGAAAGCTCGTTTCTCAGGGTGAGTCCACATGTGTCTCTGCATGAAAGTGTTGCTAGCAAAAACCACCAAGTGCCAACATCTCCGTGTGCCAGTGGCTTCCTGCCAGGGCCAGGTGCCCTCGCCCAGGCGCCCTCGCCCAGGCGCCCTCGGCCAGGCGCCCTCGGCCAGGCAGCACCCACAGTTGGGAGCAACTGTTTCCACAGGTTGGAAGCAGGTAGGAGCTGAGGAGGACCCTAGATGCCAGACCAGAGGGGAATCCAAGTCCCCTGGGGGCGGCCCGGAGCCCTGCGGCCAAGTGCAGCAGTAGCAGCCAAGTTGTTTTTTTGTTGTGTTTAAACCTAAAGCAATAGTTCTAGGATCTAATGAATTGCCAAATAAGGTAAAGAACTAAAAAAACCCTTTGAGTGGCTAAATATCGCTTAGTGGCTAGTGAGCCACTGCAGTAGCTTCTCTAGAAGGTTCTTGTGGATTTCCCAGTTGGGGGAGGGATCTATTTCCTGGGGAAGGAGTCTTGGCAACTGCCCTGTGACCACCTTGCATGGAACAAGCTCCGTACTAACTACCCCTAACGGTAACAGCAGCGAGTTAGGCCTACCGCGGCAGCAAGATGCACAGCTGAAGCTCCTTGTGCCTTATAGGAGTAGCCAGCCTTAGAATAAACGTGACAGACTCCTGTTGATTTGGGGTGGGCAGGAAAAGCGCTCGCTCTGCGGTGTGAGACGCTGAGTCTCGCTCCATGAGCCGGCTGCATCTCGCTCCATGAGCCAGCTGCCCGTGCTGCCGCGTGCAGTGTTCTGCGGGCCTCAGCATGCTGTCTCGGCTATGCAAGAATCAGCGGCCCCAGCCCCGGCTCTTTCTCTCTGGTTAGCAGCACCTACTCAGCTGCTCAGGCTTCTGCGTGCCACGTCCTGGTCCACTGCTCAGAGGTCCACGAGGTCCACGAGGTGCTCCTGATATTTGGTGCGGTGGCAGACGTGTGCTGGCTCATTGTACCGCGCCTGTGCTGGGCTGTGCTGCGGCGTCTTCTGCTCAGACGCCTCCTGCTCCTGCCCTTCCTAAAGCTCTCTCCCAGATTCTGTTTCGCTTGTCTGATGAGAAGCCCCCTCCTGCAGGACTCTCCTGCCAACATGATTCTGTCTTTTCATGTTCCACATACGGGGGGCATGCAGGTGTCTTTCTGAGTCTGGCTGAACTCCCCTAACGCAAAGACCTCCTGTTCCATTCATTTTCCTGCAAATGACACAACCTTGTTCTCTGGTTGAAAAACTCTCCACTGTGTGTGCAAAACCATTTTCTCACCCATGCACCTGTGGGCAGGGAAGCGATGCCCACCCTGGTCCCAGCTACCCTGGGTATGCCCAGAGGGCAGGGTGCCTGCTTTGGCTTCTTTGTGAGCTCCTCTGTGCCACGTGCTGGCTCTTGCTCAGGTTCGTGCCCCAACCTCCCCGCAGGACTGAGTGCCTGGTCCTAGCTAGTGTCCTCCCTGCTGATCTCCTCCCGTGCTGGCCTCTTCCCCTCCTGGCCTCCCCACCAGCTGGCCTCCTCACCTGCTGGCCTCCTCCCCTCCTGGCCTCCTCACCTGCTGGCCTCCTCCCCTCCTGGCCATCCCACCTGCTGGCCTCCCCACCAGCTGGCCTCCCCACCTGCTGGCCTCCCCACCTGCTGGCCTCTCTACCAGTTGGCCTCCCCACCAGCTGGCCTCCTCACCTGCCGGCCTCCTCCCCTCCTGGCCTCCTCACCTACTGGCCTCCTCCCCTCCTGGCCATCCCACCTGCTGGCCTCCCCACCAGCTGGCCTCCCCACCTGCTGGCCTCCCCACCTGCTGGCCTCTCTACCAGTTGGCCTCCCCACCAGCTGGCCTCTCCACCAGCTGGCCTCCCCACCTGCTGGCCTCCTCACCTGCTGACCTCCATCCCTGCTGGCTTCCTCCCCTACTGGCCTCCTTACTTGCTGGCCTTCTCCCCTGCTGGCCTCCCCACCAGCTGGCCTCCCCACTTGCTGGCCTCCCCACCTGCTGGCCTCTGCACCTGCTGACCTACCCACCTGCTGGCCTCCCCACCAGCTGGCCTCCCAACCTGCTGGCCTCCCCACCAGCTGACCTCCCCACCTGCTGACCTCCCAACCTTCTGCCCTCTCCCTTGCTGTGCATCCTGTGGCCTCCCCACCTTCACACTGGAAGTTCTGGGTCAAACCCTTCTCATCCCCACCTCTGACTCCTACTTCCAGGCCCTGCAGGATGCCCGGTCTTTTGGACTCCATGTCTGTCATAGAGTAGGGGCTGGGTGGGTCCAGCACAGTTGCAGCCCGGATGAGGAGGTGTAGTACCACAGGGTGGGAGTGGCAGAGACGCCTGGACCTCAGAACACACAGCAGCCCCTAACGGGCGTGCACACATGCAGCCTGGCCCACATACTCTATCTGCCCCCTTACCATCCACCCTCTCATTTCTGTTCTGTCTCTGTTCATTCTTAAAGGGAATCTCAGCTCACTAAATCTCATAGCCAATTAATGATTTGTGTCCTGCCGCTTGAGAAACCACCGGACTAGGTGTGGAGTCCTTTGAATCCATAAAGTTCCATTACTTTAAAGATTGGGTTGTTAATCTGAATCAGAATCATAAGAACATTGCCTCAGGGTCCCAGTGTGGTGTCCTGCTGCCCTCATCCCAGGGGTGCAGGTAAGGGATCCAGAACAGATTGCAAATCAGGCTGGGAGGTAGTGGGAAAGCTGGAAATGAATGGTCCATCCTTTGGGAGCGTGCACCAGGCTGTGTGACATCTGGCTCTCCCCGGAGACCCTGCACAGTTCCGGAGTCCCTGCTGCCGGAGTCGCTGCGGGTGCCCTGGTGTCCTGTCGAGTGCCTGGCTGATGTCTGCAGAGCTTTGCCTTCACGAGCCCTCGCTTTCCAAGCCCCTCTCACGGGTGCTCCCCTGTCCTCTCCCAGAAGTGGCCTCAGCCAAGCGCCTCCTCCGGGGAGACTCCACCTGCCTCAGTCACTCGCCGCTTTCTCAGTCCTTTCCAGCTCTATGCAGGCGAAGAAGGCTGGGCATGGTGGGACATTTTGTGACTCAAACTTTTCCATATCATAAAATGAGAGCATTTACTTAGAAGTCCACTTGCTTAGTAATTCACTAAACATAAATTATTGAATAAAGTATTAATAAATTGCCGCAGGCTGACCAGACACTAGGCCTTGGCCAAAGGGCTGCTTGACCAGGCAACAAGATCACGCTCACTGCCAGGCACAAGTACCTGAGCGAGGCGGACACTCGGACCCATGTCACATGGACACACAGACCCACTCAGGGTTCTCGTCAGGGTTCAGCATTGCCGAGGAAAGATGCACTTTTAAAGAAAAGTGAAGCAGGTCAAAGGGGAATGGCAATAGAGTGACTGTTCCCGTGTTTCTAAATCTTAGAGCATTGCTGAAAACCTTCTAGCGGATGA